AACTCTCATGCAACTCTTGTTCGCGTTTGACCGGGGCATGAGAGTTGAGAAAACTCTCGTGCAAACTCTCGCTTCTCAACTCTCATCAATTCTCGTTTCACCACAGTCATTTCACAGCGTGTTTTTCTTTTTAGACTAAAGCGAAAATCGGCCTTAGATGAAATAATGAAAGTAAGAGAAATGTTCATCAGTTTGCTCGTCAAAACCTTTTTCAATTTAATTTTGTTTCTTGACTGTTGCCTCGATAGGAAGAGGAAGCGAAGAAAGCAAAAAAAGAAACTTTACGGAAAGAAAATTGGTTAATGAAGGTTAGATTATTCACTGACAGATTATCCAAGATTTTTAATTGTACCAGGCCCGTGAGCAGGGCTCAAAGTAGAGAAAAAATATGGCCTGCCAGTCTCAAAATTTTTGGCAGGTGAAATAAATTTTAGCCTGCCGTTTTTATTCATTGAAACTGACAAAATGGCAATGTCTCATAGGAGTCTTATTGTGAAAATCAATGTTTTCATGATATGCATTTTTAGTATTTTTATTACAGTAAACTTGGATTTACATTTCAAACGTATTTAGTCGACTAAATGATCTAGTATATATGACATAAGCAGGGTCACGCAAGAATTTTATCCATAGAGCAATTGGTTATTAACTATGGTTATTATGAGCCCAAAATCATATACTTCAGTAACTATTTGAAGTAAAAAACTGTCTGACGACTTTTCAAACAAGACTTAATGTTATTTGGTCATTTAGATGTAGTTTTATATGGCTAACTCTGCTTATGACGTCACTAAAATCACCGATAATGAGATTAAAAATTAATCCAAGATGGCGGACAGCAAATTATTTTAAGTCAAAATATTTCAAGAAATAATAAAGTTACGCAAAGTCGGTAAAGGAGATTAACATATAATTTTAAAAGTTCTTTAAAATGAAATAATAAAAAAATATATTGCTGTGTCCCTTTAATTAAATGAAATATATTTATAGAATTTCACCTGCCATTTTTTTTTACTTGGCAGTTCAAATTTGTTTTTGCCTGCCATTTCTAAAATATGACCTGCTTTTGGCCATTGGCGCCCATGAGCTATGTATGTATCTGGAGTGAGAAGTGAGAACTCGAGTCTAAACATTGAAGCCAATGTATTTGAAATTATTCTTCTTTAGGGAATTGTGGTGAAAGTCGTTCATAAGAGACTCGGTGAAAAATATCACAAAAAGAAAGCGGTTGTCAAGGTCAAGCTTTTTTTCATCTTTCATAAAGTGATTAAATTTGTTTTACGCTGATTTCCACGAGGTGTGATCGCTACCGCAACTATTCCATATCGTGCTTCGTGTGTTTATTGACGGTGGTATTTTGTCTTATAGTACAATCAAAATAGAAAATAGGTCAGAAAAAATTAGTAAAAAGCCAAAAATTAGCGTATATGCACTCTCTTTAGCAACCTTGATAACATGCTAAAAGTCCTCGTGTATCGTCTTGGAGCTTTCTCCATTGTGACAAGTTTTTTGTTCGATTTCCCTAGTGAACTCCTATATTGTTAAAAAAGTGAAATTTCAGATTCATAATCATTTATAGGAAAAATAAGTTACATCATTAGAAGACATTTAAACGGCTACCTTGATTTTGCAAGTTCTTCTTGAGTTATGAGCTGTTGGAAACGTGTTGTCAGACTAGTACCCAGGATTTTTGCCAGATTTTGGCCTATTTGTCACATTTGGAACAGCAATAACTCGAAAACCGCTTGAAAAATTTAGGTGACAGCTGTTTAAATGTCTTATATGTAGTTTTTATGAACTTTCTAGTGATGCGAGTCCTTTTTGTTATGAGTGAACTTGAAATTTCACGTTTTTTAACAATATGGGAGTAATAGGGAAATCGAAAAAAACCTTGTCATAATGGAAAAAGCTCCAAGAGGATACATGGGGACTTGTAGTATTTTGTTCAGGATAGTTAAATTATTGCATCTAACAATTTTTAGCTTTTTACTATTTTTTTCCAACCTTGGCCTTAAAATGAGCTAAAATTACTGAACTATTATTTCAGGAAGTGAAGGAGTTGTTCACAGGAATTGTAAAAATGGTAAACGGTGGAGATGTCTTGAAAATTGATCAAACTCATTTGGAAACCGTTATACCTGCCATAGGTAATGTGAAATTTATTTCAAAATGTTTAAGAACGAACTTTCTCTAAGCCTATGTTAATAATATATTTTGTGTTCAATGTGTAGACCACAGTAAGACTTTTTTTAGTATAGGTAATCATGCGATGGCGAGTACAATTAGGGATTAATAGTACGAGTGATGTTTGGAAATTTTGCCAAAATTGGACGAGCCGCTCAACATTGTATTCTCTCGCCAAAGCCCAGTCCTGCCAGACTTTCAACCAAAATTTGGTGCTTTTGTTTGTATTTTCATTTAGTTCTTTTGTTCAAGCAAAATTTGGTGCTTTTGTTCGTATTTTCATTTAGTTCCTCCACGGCAATTTCATTTCGCAATTGTGTTTAAATCATTGAACTAAAAATAACGTATTTTTAGTTCACTGGTTTAAATACCTTTCCGCCATTTTGTTTGTTTTGGGAAAATCATTAATTGTACTGCAGTACAATTAATGAAATAATTGTACTCCTCTCAACCAATCAGCATCCAGTAATTTTGTCATGCTAATAATAAATGTGTTTATCACATCAACAAACGACGTTTCGGTGATTTATTCCATCTTCATATAGATAAGATTAAATTCAAATTGTAATCTTATCTTCCTGGAGATGGAGTAAATCTCTGAAACGTTGTTTGTTGATGTAATAAACACATTAAAAAAGTCTTACTGTGGTGTATACATTGAACACAAAAGTCATGTATATTTGCTGCCATGCAGTTTGTTCTAAAAACCTAAGATCCATGATCTATTTTCCAGGAAGGTTGGTTTTAATCGTAAATGGCCGCTACAGAGGGCAGAAAGGAACTCTGATCGCTTTAGACGAGAAAACGTTCAGCACTTCTGTTGAAATTAAGGAGGTAACTCTCACCTATTGATTGTAACATATTTTCAAGATGTTTGAAAAGTTATTGTCATAAAATACGTACATGATATCGCGATCAAATACAAATCTCCCCTTGTAATACTGTTGTAATGTCGATATATCATATCTTGTCAAAATTTCCGGGTTTTTTTTCCTCTAGGGGGAACATCGGGGCCGTATTGTGGACAAACTCCCGTATGAAGATATTTCCAAGTTAGACACGTGACAACTCCCTGGCAACGTATGTATTTTTGTTCCATCTTCATTGTGTACTATTGTGACCTGCCACGCCTAGTGACGTCATCCTATTACGTCATAATATGTGACGTCATTTTTGGCATCATAATGTATGATGTCATACAAAAACACCATAATGTTTGACATCATTATACTGTATGTGATATACTACTGTGTGACTTCATGCTATGACGTCATGTTGTGACGTCATGCTATGGTGTCATTATGTATGACGTCATTCTAAGGCGTCCTAATGTGTGGTGTCATTGGAGGAGTAACCATTACAGTATGGGACCATAATAGTTATTGATATCGATTAGAAGTTATCATTGTCTAAATGGCTTGACTTCAGCAATAATAATGAGATCAGCGCATGATATAGTCGCTATGTCGTTCAGCTCAAAATGAACATTCAGTGTTTCAAAACATTCTGGGGATGCATTTCGCTTTAATTAAAAGTACTTTCAAAAACATTTTACAACAGTATCTTATTAGGCTGATAATAAATCTACGTCAATCAGCAGTGATTTAGTATCTATAAATTTTACAGCTGTACATATTATCTAACTACTAATAAATTCTACCAAAACAATGCGGTCCAATGAAGACCTTTTACAAAATTCAAAGTCTGATTACATAACTTTCATTGTCTAAACCTCCTTATATTTAGAGGGTGTTCATACTTTATTTACAAATGTGTAGAAATCTTAAAATTACTTGACGGTGCTCGTTAATTTAACTATTAAAAACTTTAACTACAGGAATCTAGTAAAATAAACAGAAACTGCGATATTTTTTACATGCAACAGAATGCTGCTTTTTAGAATAACAATGGAATGAAATAGTATTATAATAAATATTTAGTTTAAGAGAAATTTCGTTATATTATGATATACATCTGCAACTAGCGACATTCCAGGGGGGGGGGCATGTATTTTTCACATTTATGACCGTACCTCGTAGCAATATGCTGTTTGCCTCAGCAAGCCTCGCCGAAAGTCGTGGGTTGTCTCCGGGTGCTCCGTTTCCCTCCCACAGGGAAAGTTGACAGGGTGGGTTAGGATAAACAGAGTTAAGAAAGTAATATCACAATTGTTTTAGAGGGGCAGTGTCACGGTTCAACTGCGCATCCAAAATATGCGCGAACTTGAAAAACTGTCTGCCAACAATTAATCAAGTTAGGAGTGAAATACGATATGCAGGACATCCTTGCTTTATTTTAAAAATTGAAGGCTGCTGCATCTTTTCCAATCATGTAGCATTAATTTTAAACGTTTCTTTGCGCCGTTTATTTTAGCCAATCAGCACCGTGACACTGCCCCTTTAAGAGATAAAATAGTCAAGGCTTAGTATGTTATTAGGTAACCGTAATACTTGAGATGTAAAGCGCGTTCGATCATAACCACCACATGCATGTTTGCTCTATCAGTAGCCAAGCAAGTCAGTAGCTATCCAGTCCTCTTGGGAAAATACTCAGTTGACTCACAAATGAGCATGTTTAGTTTGCATATGCTCTTTCAATCCAGTATGTTCCTCAAAAACTTTCTTACAAATTGTACACGAATATTGGCCATTCATCTCATGAATCTTTATATGATGTTTCAAATTTGACTTCTTGTTAAAGTGGCGACCGCACGTTTCGCAACAAAATGGCCGCTCTCCGGAATGGACAAACATGTGATTCCTCAAATTCCCTTTCTGGTGGAAACCTTTTCCGCACGTGCTACACACGTGCTGCTTGCGTGCGCTGTGCGTGCGCATGTGCATTTTGAGAGTGGAGGAACGGTTGAACGTTTTCCAACAAACTTTACACTCGTGAGGCTTGTTGCTTGTGTGGATTATTTTATGTCTACACAAAGTGCTCGAGAGCCGAAAGCCTTTTCCACAGACATCACAAACAAAAGGCGTCTCCTTCGTATGTTCTGGCATTTTAATATGAATACTAAATGTATAATACGTTTTAAAACATTTTCCGCATTGTTTGCATTGATAGCGAGTTTTCTCGTCGGAACTTCCATTGGAATTATATTCATTCGAATTCATTTTGATGGCTTCCGTATTTCTTTTCTTTGATTTCCTCGATTTACCTTCCGTATAAATTTCCTCGCTTTCCTCATCTTTATTCCTTTCCGAATCACTTCCAATTTCCATACAACTCCGTTCAATTCCTTCATTATCACCCAAACATTCCTTAGAATTCATTTCCTTTCTGTTTCTTCTATTCGCCCTAGTTTGAATCGTTTTAAAACCATCTTTCATCACTCCATGTTTCTTGCATTTCCTTAAAAATCGTCCCGCTGAATTTGGTTGCTTTTTCTTGTCTTTTATTTCACGTACTGCAGGGCCATTTGTGGAGAAAAAGTCTCTTTTTTCTTGAAAATTCTTTCTAACATTTTTACGAACTATTTTTCGTTTTGTGCTGTTTTCCCGCCGAACCTCGTTGTCATAGGAATCATGACGTTTCACCTCGTCAATTTCTTGAAGTTCCCGTACTTTTCTGCTCGGTATCACACGTCGTTTTTGGCGGCGTGAAAAATTGCTTCGTTGGTCAACGTTGGAAATAGTTAATGCTTGATCTTCCGACTGTTGTTCATGCCCCTTCTTTGAATCGCTATTTTCATGTGCCGAGATGTCGTAAACATTGTTATTCTGAAGAGACCCCATTGCCAGTGATGTTAAGATGTGTGCATAGTTTAGTTGTTCTAACTCTGAAGTTATGCGCTCTGTTAAAGCATCGTTTTGTAAGAAAGTGTGCAGTTTGTAGCTTGACATTCCAGCAGGAAGTTCTGCTTGAGTAGCGATTTCTTCAGTGGATTTCATGCTTTGAAAAATGGCTTTGTTTATGTTTCAAATTTTTTTGATGAGATATTTTCTGCAAAGATAGAGTTGTGTAGTAAAAATTCAGAATTGTTAATCTTACAGCTGTCACGCGTAAAAGTCTCACATCTTGTAGCAATTCTGCCAACAAGCCGTCAACAAGTTGTGTTCGCACTGCTTGTCCCAAGTTATCAACAAGTTTATAAGAAGCTGTTAACAACTTGTAACAACCTTGTTGATATTATCAGACTTGTTGCAAGGTTGTTCCAACAAATCCGATACAGTCATGATATAACAATATTGTTACAACCTTGTGTCGTCAACCTTGTAACATTTTTGTTATATCATGACTGTATCAGACTTGTTAGAACAACCTTGTAACAAGTCTGATAATGCCATCAAGCTTGTTGCAAGTTGTTAACAGCTTGCTCCAAACTTGTTACAACAACTGGGAACAAGCAGTTGTTGACAAGTCTGGAACAAGTTGTTATCATCTTATAACAAGGTTGATGAGGCCAACAGACTCGTAACAAGTTGTTCCAACAAGTCTGATATCGTGTGCACTTAACAAGTTGTTAACAAGATGCTGACAACAAGCTCGTAGCAACTTGTTACGAACAGCCTGTATTAGTCTTGTTGGAATTACAACTTGCAGCAAATCTGTTACCGTTATCAACCTTGTAACAAGATGATAACAACTTGTTCCAGACTTGTCACAACAACTGGGAACAAGCAGTACAAACACATCCTGATATCGCTTTGACAACAACCTTGTTACAATCTGTATAACAAGTTGCGCGTTTTTGCGCATACATGTGATTGGATAGCGTAAAAATTCGTTGCTGGATTCGTGCCGAAGTTTATATTTCCTAATCAATCGTGTTCAGTTTAGATTCATTTCACGCGAAAAAGGTTACACACGTAAAAACGCACAAGTTGTTACAGGTCTGCAGACAAGTTGTTACAAATCCGTTGTTACAAGCTGTCGACAAGTTGTGCTCGCACTGTTTGTTCCCAGTTGTTGCAACAAGTTTCGAAGAAGCTGATACAACAAGATATAAGGCCAAAAAAAAAATATGTGGGTTTCCGGTTTCTTCTTATAAGAACTTAGGTAGGGTAGGTCGGTTTTAACTTTTTTTTTAAACTTTTTTTTTAATTTTCCGAACAAGCGGACGCCATTTTGTTTAGTCAGTGCTTCCACATCCAAACATAAATTTCCCTAATATTGCCTCAAATTTCAATTTTCCACAAACTTTTTCCTCTAAGTGGAAACACTTACAAGCATGATTCAATAAAAAAGTTTAGGGTCGGGATTTCGACGTCCAAAAGCTAGGTAGGGTCGGGAAACCGGAAACCCACATGTTTTTTTGGCCTAACGAGAAGGTTACAAGGTTGACGACACAAGCTTGTAACAATATTGTTATATCATGACTGTATCGGACTTGTCGCAACAAGCTTGCAACAAGAACGGGTTTAAAGTAGCACAACTTTATATATATTTATATATAAGTGCAACGACTCAATAAATTCCACTAGGCATATTTATTACTATTTAGTTTCGTACCACAAGATGTGGCACTCGTCAGATAAATTAGCCTATATCTGATAATATCAACAAGGTTGTTACAAGTTGTTAACAGCTTGTTCCAAACTTGTTAACAACTTGGGACAAGCAGTGCGAACACAACTTGTTGACGGCTTGTTTGCTACCAGGCGGAAAATCTTTCTATAACGGTTGCTATATGCACCAAGCATGCATATGCACGCTAAAGTTAAAAATTATACCATTGTACTTTTGTGTAGTACTAATTGATATACATGCAGTTTCTGTGAATGAACAGATGAACTTATCAAAATTGTTAACAGTGTATATATATATATATGGAAATTTTTCAAGATATACATTTTGCATTGTTTTATCGCACATGTCACATTACAACTGTTAACGGTAGACAAAATATATTAGCGTTTCATTTTGTCACAGAATTAAGCGGTCGTGTGTCCCATTTGTTTGTCCGTGTTAATTGTTTGCCAAACGTTTGCCGATGGCAAAATGAGCCAATGCTTTTAAGCATCTGGAAAAATATGCAGCATGCGGGTTATTAATGTATAAATATTCTAGAATGAAGGCACGTACTACTTACTCACTACTAGACTCCAAGCTCAATGAAATATAATCGCATGCGTTTTGAATTTGTCTTTTTCAATTTAAACTCATCTTTTCAAATTAAGATTTTCAGATGCTCAAAATTATTTCATCTAATATGTCCTCCAAAGTTAAAATTTGAAATAATTGCATCCAAGCATGTGTTCTGTACGTATTTTATTATTTATGAACTTCATTTTTATTTGCGACACGGCAGACACAAATTTCGGTCAAATTTTGCTTTCGAGTCATGATTTTAACCGTGGTCCTTGCCCATAAAGTATATAGCAAACTGGTATTTGAAAAACCAACGTTCACTCATTTTAGTATATTATCAAACAGTTTGTTTGTGTTTCTATGGCTGTGCGCAATAACTTTTCTTCCAAATGCGATAGTGTAGCTACGGGCAATAAAAAATACGCTTTTCTGTTTAAAAATACGATAAATTTACTTACTTTACAGTAAAATTCTTCAACGGTTGAGTTTCGAATTTATCTGCTGTTGAAAAGCAAAAAACGTCGAATTCAAAATATCTTTTGTCAATATACACATCGACTGTTCTTTGCCCAGTGTGCTGTCTTTTGCTTTAATGATATACACAATACAGAGTAGTTTCTCAAGGGCGCGGGATTCAGACTCGACTTGCTTTAAATATTAATAGCATACACTTTTAATTGCAAAGTAAACCCAGCCAACCAATGATAGCGCTTTGTTTTGCTACAGATATTATTGTCATGCTGTTATAATATATTCTGCCACCTGTCACGGTATAATTTATGCAGCAGTATAAATGGTTTATGGCCGCGACAGATGCGTTTTAAGCTATACACAATTATATTTTGTTTTACAATATTGTACATCTTTTTATTTTAAATTAAAGTAGCGAAACAACAATGCATGCAGTTAGGGCAATGCCTAGTCTGCTCGCAGAAATGCCTTTCACCGTTGACATTGTTGCTCGATTGTATCGCCTCTGGAAAATGCAGGAAAATGTTTATCTGAGTATAACCAAATCTCGCATGCAAAAACTTTACGAAATTCTGTCTAATTCTGTTTAAATATCTTGCTGACAAGCAAAGAGAGCAGCGTCTTTCACCTCCGAAATCGTGGGTGCGTCGCAGCGGACATTTATATGAAAAGAGTCAGTCAACGCTGTACCCAAATTCGTTGGTTTTCCCAAGGTACTCCTCGGTTAGAACCACAGGGATTGTTTGACAGGGTGGGTTGGAATTGGCCCCCAACTGAGATGTGTCGTAAGTTGGCTCCCAGAGATGCACTTCTAGAAAGATTCGACTCGATCAGGTTGAGTTCTTCGCAATTTATCTTGTTAGTAAGGATGATTAGCACACCTCTATACTCACTTGCTTTATTTCTCTATTATACTTGAGAGAAAGTCGCTTATTCTTTTATAAACTATGTCTGCATTGCACGTATACCGTGAATTTCTCGTCCGATTTTTATGCAAATTCAGGCAAAACTTGGTAGATTTGTCGTTGGACCAACTAACTCTCATATCATACAAACTGCCCAATACGTTTTGAGTCCTAACAGACAAACACGAACACACACAAACACAAACACAAACACAAACACAAACACAAACACAAACACAAACACAAACACAAACACAAACACAAACACAAACACAAACAAACCGACTTGAAAGCAGCCACCAGATGGAAAAGCAATTTTAATTTTATTATTTTTTACATAGCCAGCTTCTAGTCTTATTCCCTCGTCGAGTTTCTATTTTATTTGTGATATGCATGCGTTTAATTTGTACCTCTCGAAAGCCTTGTATCAGCGAGTAAGGGGCCGTTCACGTGACCCTCCATTGCCCGGGCGAGATGGCAGCCTGGATGATTTTGATGTATTGAAACAAGTTGCGGTGGAACGCCGGACAACTAAATTATGGAATGCAGGACAACTAAATTATTTTTACACTGATAGATTATAGTGCATAATGCTTGTGATGTTACTCTGAGTGAATATCTACACCGGACAAGCTTGAAAAATATGCCTTGCCACGGTGGGAATTGAACCTACGACCTTTGGAATACTAGCCCAATGCTCTGCCAACTGAGCTACGCGGTCAGATCGGTTCGAGTATATGGGCACAGAATAGGAAGTTATACCAGAAGCGTAACTCGAGCAAATATTTGTCCGCGTTTTTACAAGCGATTCGTCATCAATCACGCCATCCTGGCTAGTACAACCGGCACTTTGTACCTACCAAATCCTGATAAAAACTTCCGGCTGTACTAGCCAGGATGGCGTGGCCTGACGTGAGCGAGTTAAAATTTTCGTGGACGTCAAACAATAAGGGAAACGACTAGAGTTACGCTTCTGGTATAACTTCCTATTCTGTGATATGGGCTAGTATTCCAAAGGTCGTAGGTTCGACTCCCACCGTGGTCAGGCATATTTTTCAAGCTTGCCCGGTGTAGATATACACTCAGAGTAACATCACAAGCATCATCAGTATTCACCTGAGTACATTACACCAACACAGAAAAAATCAAGATTATAGTATAATTGTCAACGATAGGTTGTTCACTGAAGCAGCAATGATAATCTTCTGGAACTACGAGAACTTCTCGACAACTTTTAAGTTCTTTTAAGTGGCGTTTGAACGTTCGATTAAGCCTAGTATAACCAAATTTCAATCCATCAAAATCATCCCATGGATTTTTTTTCAAAATTCTTACTGTGGAAATAGTGTATGGATCTACGTTGTAAATAGTAGTGAAATCCAATTTTCATAATAATTTCAATTTCCAGACTATGGATATATTATGGAAATAGTATGGATATACTATATGGATTTAGTGATGCAATTATAACCTTTCTCAAGAAG